GGACATATGTTATCAGGGTTGGATCTGGGAACCAACAAGGGGGCGAGGGGGGGGACGGCAAATTTCAGGTCAGAGGAAAAAAATGTTGGGCCCCTAAAACTCAAATGTGGGCCCAAATTTTGAAATTTTGAGGCCCATTTTCTTCAAAAAAACGTGTTACTGCAAACACTGCATCATTCATTGCCATGTCAATTTCCTAAAAGTATCCAAAATATATATTCAATTTGAGGAAAGCTACTGACTTTCACAATGATCAGTGATCTCCCCAGCATTTAAGTAAGTGGGCGCATCACTCACCTGAGATTTTGAAAATAGGCTTGCACCAACATGAAAATACTTTTGCACCAACTTGAAAATGAAAAAAATCATGAGAAATTGGCATATTTTGATACCCTTTGCATTCGTTCGACTTCATGTCTCAAAAGAATGCTTCGTCTTCACTCTTTCAGCAGTTTTCAATAAATCTCTGAACTCACCGAGCGAATCAGAGATCATCGTCAAAAACTGACGATTTTCTATGTAGGGTCATTTTCTCTGACATAATCACATAATTATCGTGCACGCATTTACCACTTGTTCCTTCAAGCTCCCTGATTGGTTGAGAATAGGCTAGCTTGGTGGGTGTGAAATGATTTAAGACCAGAGTTGTCACTGGCGTATAGTCTATACTAGGCAGAGGGTAGTTTATAACTAGTATCTGTGCGCAGGGTAATATTTTGACCAATTTTTGTCTGAATTGTGAAAATGAGAATTTTGCACCCGCCTGAGAAAAAATCCTGGGGAGATCACTGATGATGTATTCATTTTTCAATAAATGTGGTCAACATATTTATTATTTGGGGGAATCAAAACATTTCCCCATTTTACACATGTTGCTTGCCATTTTGCCACCCCTGAGAGATCTGATTCTAACTTTATATTATATAAATGTTAATGATAATAATGTGACAAGACCATGTGACATATAGTAATGTTAAAATATGCCATGAATGGGATCGATACATCAGCAATGTCTTTGGTAAATTTTGAATTATGTACCATTTGTTACGATAAAAAAACAAAATAACAGTTAAAATACAATTAAGCATTAGGGAAGGGAGTGTACAAATATGGGGTGTAAATACATTTATTCCATATTTAGCATGATATTCATAGGATAACATGTGGAAATAAAAACGGTATTTTTGTAATCAGTGGTAAAATATGATATTTTTGACAAATTTTCACTTAACCATAGCATACGGTTTTTTAGCCATGACATACGACGTCGTATGCTATGGTTTATGGATTTTTGCTACTTCAGACTCAAAACGAGGCTTAGTGTAAACATCGCCAGATCGTTTGGAAAATTCGAAATAAATCACTTAATTTCCGACGATTCTGATGATGACTTTAACTATGGAATAAAAAGAACATCCTATGATTTACTCGTGATATGATTTTAATCCACTCATGGATATTGATATCTGCACTCTCTCGCTACGCTCGCTCGTGCAGATGACATATCCATTATCCATAGGATATCCTCTATGTATTTGATAATCTGAATCTCTGAGCTGTTTTTGGGGAGAATTCAAATATTTGAAAATAAAAAGTCAAACAACTTTGATGATGAAATAATATTTCTAAACTTTATATCAGGCCTTTAACACTTCACAGTAATATTGAAACATGACCTAGTTAGATCACCTCATTTTAGTTGTATCACCTGATTTTAGAGTTGTTTATGTCAAGAATTTGCTACTTCCATTGGTCTGGTTGTGCTACTAGACTTGTTGTGTCAATAGTTTTTATTTACTGTATTTAGAAAAACTAATCTTGAGATGAATAAATGAAAATATATAAAAGAAAATATTTCAATCTCTTTATTGAGATAAATCAATGCTATATCTTACAATGAATCAAATATTATTAAACTAAAATGACCATTCACAATGTTACTGTGTTTACAGTGTTGCCAAAATAACTATATTTGCGACACCAAATATAAATAACGACAATAGAAGTCAAGCACGCAGCAGCGGGATAAAAAAAAGAAAAAATGTAATTTAGTCAGATCTTGAGTTTAGGCATGAGACCAAATAGAGAAATGTATGATAAAAGTATATTTTTATATATAATTCAATACAAAACACTTGGTAAAATCCATCTGCAGTAAACAATTCCATAGCATTCAGCACCATTGTTGATTTTCTTCAAGAGTTAAAATATAACGGTAAACAACTCAATGGGCAGCCTATTAAAAACAATCTTTTGAAAAGTGGCACAGTTTGACACTCCTGCATACCTTCTACTTGAAGTCTTCACATGTTGTATATAAAGAATGTGTGGAAGTTGATTTAAATTTTTAAACGAAGACCTTTCAAATTCCATCTAGTGGGAACTTTGAAAACTGGTCTGAATTTCCTATTATGTGAGTTTAGTCAGTTTGTAGTTTTTGACGATTCAAAAGAGGGCTTCATCCACACCTTATTTTACTACAGATTAAAATGAAGCCAAATAATGCATAGGTTTCTCAATGCAGCACTCTTTTAGTCATTCAGACTGTCTGGCAACAGTATCAATAACACAAATACCATAATTTTATCCAAGGTCAAATATTAGTTAATCTGTAGATATAGAATGCTGAATTATCACCTTTATTACCAATTTTTTAAGCCATCCAATCCAAATAATGTTTATAGCATGTTTATACTTGTATATCACTTATGTTTACAGGCCCGTAGCCCCCCTAGCCAAAAATTCTTTCAAAATCATGCAGTTTTTACCCTTTTGAGCACTTCTCAAGTGATTTTAGCCATATTTGGGCCAAAATTGTCAAATGTGAATCCCCCTGGAAATTTTTGAAAACTGAACCCCCCTTGGCAAATCCTGGCTACAGGCCTGGTTTATAACTTATAATTTTTATGTACTAGCTCACATCATTTGTGGCAGCTCCATAAGTAGCTATTGATTATAAAACATAGTGCAAAAGTGAGTAAATCCTTAATATATATGTAGTTGAGACATACTTATTGGTAAATGAATCACAGTGATGATTGGCAAAAAGTCATATTAGTACATAATATCGAAATCGACAGAGGAGAAAACTATTCATTTTGGATGAAAATGATAAATTGGAATTGATAACTAAAATATTATAATCTATCTATATAAGTTTTCTTTGTTACAAAATTTCAAATGCTTTCCCTTATGAGCGAAATCTCTCTAATCTTATATAACTTACATATGGTGTGTTTTGTTTGTTATTTTTCATGTTAAAATGTCAATATTTTGGCAATGATTGTCAATGGTTTGTTAACCTAATGTTACTTGAAGAGGTGACATGTTACAAATTGTTATGAGATTTGATAATTCCTGGAAATGAATGTAAATGAGACAAAGTTGATATGTGGTGAATACCATATAATTTGTTTATTTTTGCCAGATTAAACCATGGGCTTTCAATATTGAATGCCTATGGTTAAACATACTTATGTACTTTGGCCACGGACCTGAAGAAATGGACTTGAAACTCTCTGAATCTTGTCTCGGCTGTTGCCGCTAGAGGCACTGTAGTTTTCATGACCTAATTGTGCATGAATTCATGTACTAAAAACGCAAAAAGATGGCAGGTCTTAAGTCTGAGAATGTGCGACTGTGCGTGTTTGAAAACTACAGCGCCTCTTGCGGCAAATATAGGCCATGACTATTGGTTCAATATAGAAATTTCCTATCAATTTCTTCAGGTCGGGTAATGTGGCCTACTGTGTCTTTTTTCATTCTTTAGTATAAGTGTCCCAATAAGAAATGCCATACTCTGTGTACCAAGGAACAATACAGGAGATCACTCCCCTACTTATTGAAAATGTATTTAGATTGTACAGTGATTTTGATCTGAACCACGCCAGTTCAAAAATTGATTTTTCTGAAAATGTATTTCGATGTATCAGAGTTTTATGGCAGCGAATTTCGATAGTGCAGTAGGCATTCTCTATCAATTGTGGTTAGATTTTTTAATAAGTGCTCAGGAGTGAATAAATCCCGTGAGCGAAATATAAAATAATCTTACAGGTTTAAACTTACAATTCCGCATGTAAATGTATGCCATATTTTTTCTAGTTCTTAGCAGATGGCGGAAGCGAAGATTTAACAGGTAAAATCACAGCGATATATTGGAGATTATTTTGCCTATATTAGCAAAACTTTTGCTTCATTTGTGTATATTCTGTCCTTGAGATAGGTTATATTACCGAACAAATGTGAAAATGGAATGTTTGTTCGATGCTTCGATGTTTGTATTTTATTTAGCTCTCGTAAAATGAACGAACAAACATTCCATTTTCACACATGTTGGGTAATATATGTATCGTATCATAACTTCCGGAAATGACAAGAAAATTTTTGGGAATATTTTCAGTTCGTTTACATTTCTTGTATAACTGTACTTATTGATCGGACGGAAAGATAAGCTGATGTAGTTACACTGGAGTTCGCTTACTATCATTTGGAAGGCAAGTGAGGGTCCCATTCATCAGCTAACACTTATATGTCGAAGTTAAGCTCTTGCTTTTTTTTAACATGAAACCGACAGTAAGGTATAGGCTACACACTTGACACTGACTTGACAGCTGAATTTCTTGACCACTTGACTCTTTTTGGTAAAAATAGTTTCTAAAAATAAAAAAAAATGATCGAAACTAAGATTTTGTGTTAAACCATACATCAATTACTTAAATAATACTCACCCTCGAAATATATAACGTCTACGTTCTTCTAAATCGTCATTCAAAGTGGAGCAGATTATGTGGCTGCCTCGGATGTTCCAGGTTTTACAAAATATATCCCTAAGAATTATTCGAATAAATTGATATCATAAAATGCACAGAGCAAATTACTATCAAAACGACATAAATATAAAAAAAGACTTTTGCATCATTGAAATATTTAAATATACCAATATGAAATAAAAATACGAGTATTTATATTTTTCTAAAAATACGAAACTAGAAAATAAATATCTTTCAGCTTTGTACTCAAAATTATTTTCAACATTTTCAAAATGTTTAGATTTCTTTTCTTCTGCAATGTAAATCTATAGACACCCCTTCCACTCACCGAGGAACAGAATATGGCAGAATCAAGAAGATCTGGAAGGTAAAACTAACAGATACCATTCCCTACACAGTAAAATTTTCACAGGAAGTTGTATCAACAAGTCCATTTGGGACTAGATCTAACATAACCAAACCCGTCTGGCCCAGTTTACCATATTCTATGGCTATATACAATATAAATAAGGCACTCTTTGTTATTTTGAATTTGCCTTAAATTGCCGAGTCGTCTTATTTTTATTGATGTAAATATAATAAACTCAGCTTCATTGATCTTTACACGCAGTCCTATTTAATAAATTGGTCTACTTCGCAGGATATTTATTCACAAAAGAATTAAAACAAAACTGAAGGAAATTTTTTACAAAAGGGGGCATCTTGATTAAATTGCTATAGCGGAAAAAATGCATGCTTTAAAAATGGAGAACAAAACGACGTCTATTTTAAATGAAAACATTTAATATCTCATCAACAAGACAAGCCGTTACCATTTCAATTCATGAAATATTAACAGAACGATTTTTAGAATATTACATAAATTTATTGAACGACGGCTTAAGATTTTACAATAGTTCACGGTGTTCCAGATGGAATCACTTCTAGCCAAGAATTGGCTAGAGACTCGAGTAAGGCACAGTTATCTACTACGACATTGGGAGTAGATAACTAGGCCAGACGGGTTTGGTTAGGCCTAACAGAGCTTTTTGCCCTTCCCCACTCTCAGAATAGATGTGTTCCTCAAGGATTCCCTCCAAACTCGCGCTGAAAAAATAGTTGAAATCAAAAGTAGATTTTCTACAAGATCCTTATTCAAAATTCGACCAAACTTGCACAATTTGGAGGGAAAATACTCACGAACTCAAATAAACAAAAAGATCACAACCTGACAGATACTTCATGATGTTTTTAGTCATGCAAAAAGCTAGGCATCATAGCGCGGAAGATGTGCTGCAAATAAAAAATTGAAATACATCTGTTATGAGAGTGGGGAAGGGCAAGGGAAAAAGCTCTGTTAGGCACAAAAAGGACTTGATACAACTTCCTGTGAAAATTTTAACGAAATTTTAAATGTTTGGAAGTACAGTGCTCACCATTGACCATAAAATGATAAATAAATCACACCTGAATTTTCTGTCACCATTTCCAGACCATGGTGATTTGAGACTTCATACTTTCCAATAATCTCTAGATACACATCCCTTAGTTTTGTATATTTTACATTTTGTATACTCTCATCCACTGATGTATAGCCTCTTAAAAATTCTCTTCTTTTTAACATGGGAAATCCTCACTTCAGAAAATCCAGGTGTCATTTATTTATGGTGAGCACTGTAGCCTACTTTGAAATCTAAAAAGCAATTAAAGGACCATAATATTGAAACAGAATATGTAAATATAGAAACATTTATACATGTCCTAAGTTTTGTATATTTTAGTTTGTTTTGTGGGGGGCCCTTTTGTAGTTTGGCTATCATATGTGTGGCCTCTTATATTTTGATGCTTCTCTGCCATGTTATTTTCGAAAAATTAACATGGCTGAAACTCCCTAAATTACAAAAGGCCAATAGCTTTGCTGCACATTATACATAACTATCTGAAATAAACAAAAGTTAGGAATTGTACATATGTTTCTATTTTTTCATATACTGTTGCAATATAGTCATTTGATTGCTTATTTTTTAAATTCATAGTTCCAAGCATTTAAAATTTTACTGTAGTGAGATCTACATGTAGGCTAATCTACAGTAAAATTTTAAATGTTTGGAACTAGGCTACTTTGAATCTAAAAATAAGCAAGTAAAGGACCATATTGAAACAGAATATGTAAAAATAGAAACATTTATACATGTCCTAACTTTTGTATATTTAAGTTTGTTTTGTAGTTTGGCTATCATATGTGTGGCCTCTTATATTTTGATGCTTCTCTGCCATGTTATTTTCGAAAAAATTAACAAATTCAAAGTAAAATATTTTTCAGTTTCTGTCCGACAGTCAAAAAATCAATTTTTAGAAAAAGTTCAAATCCCTCAATCAAATCATTTAGTCTACTTACTCATGTTTACATAACTTATTTTTTGAAGTCATGTGTACCTATTCGCCTAGTCAGTAGGCAGATTCTTGAATTTGGATCCTAATGCAGTAAGAAACTCAGTAATTTTCATGAGAAAAGTTTCTTCTCCTCTGTTTAAGTGACATCAAGAATTTTCCAAGAATTTTCCAGAATTCCATGAATGAACTATACATGTAGTTAGATTTTTGAAGGGGTGATAAATATCCAAAATTAGAAATAAACAGATTCAAATGTGATAATCCAGTTTACAAACTATTCCAAAGAAGTGTAATTTAATAAATGTAATTAGCCGAATGAGAAAATAAATGGGTTTTTCGACCATCGGACAGCATCTGAAAAATATTTTAGTTCCAAACATTTAAAATTTTACTGTAAGACTACTATATCAAGGAGGATTGGAAGCCAAAAGTTCCACCTCGATAAAGTCATGCGATATTGCCGATCATGCCTGTATATTTTCTCCAGCTTCAGGGAGAATTAACAATATTCTCAATCAAAGCTTGCGTCATTATTTTCAATGTTTAGCTGGCTATAAATTCAAAATCAGCATACGAAATATTCAAACTACATGTAATGACTCAGGGTAGTTATCAGAAATTTACACCAAACAGGAAATGAAAAAACCATGTGGATTTTAGAATTTTCCAAAAGTACTCATTGACGTTCGAGTTCACTTGTTCAGCACTGACTGTAGGTCTAGATATTGTTTCTCATATCTGACTTATGATATGAATCCTTGCAGGTTAAATCATCCAAAATAATTCATAAGTGTTGCATAAGATTATCTTCCGAACTACTGCACTGCATCCTTTTTCATGGCCTGACTGATTTGCTAGAATTATTAAAATAAGACTTACATGTAGCTAAAGAATGAGATTGTCACTTACCCTCATTCCGAACTCATTCCGCAATGTCAAGTTCTAACAGCTTGTCTGGAATCACCATTTCTGTTCTGTTTCTTTCAAACCTGTATCGCTTATGATCTGTGTTTGAACTTTTTTAGTAACAGAACTCAATGGAATTTTTGAAAATGGATTATCTGTGTGATTTTGATTCTGAGATCAAAAGAGTTCATTGTTTAACAAAAACAAAATAATCGTAACATTACCTGTCCTTTGTTTATGTTCCTGTCCATTTTTCACCCATCAATGGCACAAATAGTATATCATGTGTCATAAATCTGCTTTCCCATCTTCAGTTGATGGGATCCAAATATTAGTTAACAAATATAAAATGTTTGTTTCCAGGGCCAGGAAAACTGTAGATTACTCACAATTTGGGGGAGCAGAAGAAAACAGCGATGGTGAGTAAAATATTGGGATTCTATCATTTTTGCGTTTCACTCAAAGGGACAGGGTCAAAATTGTGTCGTATCAAGAAAGCTTATTTTTTATGATGTTATTGTCTCCAACTTTTTGTTGAAGGTGTTCGGCAATAGACATTCGCCAGTCAACATCTGTAACAAATGGCAGGTAGTAATATTTTGCATGGTAATGCCTTGTTATATTTTATACTGATCAAAAATATAATTTAATAGGTAGTGATTTTTATTGAACATCCCGGTAAACTGGTAAAGTCATACTGTATATATTAGATACAGATACTCGACACTATAACAAAATGAGGATACATGTGTTTAGAAACACTTGAAAATGTTATATTAAACCTGTTAACCAGTGAAAGGGAAACATCAAACTTAAGTACAAAATTCCATTGTCAAATTGCTCCATTCCATTATCTATCTATCATGGCCCTGGCCCCATTACTATCCCATTCCAAAATCACAAAACCAAGTCTCGGTTGATGATGGTAAATATAAATTATGATGTATATAGAATAGATACAGGTTGACCTTGAAATATTACATCATTGAAATAAATGTTATTTAATTGCTTTTGAAGCATATCAAAAATAAAAATATACATTTAAAAATACAGGTTGAGGATACATGGCTTATCTTGGGGGAAATATAAGTACATTCAGAGGAATAGCAAGCACAAAGACCCACATATTCCTTCAGGGATAAACCCTGTATCTAACACCAACATATAACAGGTGTATTCCATACCTACTGATGTTCTAGGGACATTTTACCATCTAAAGTTCCATTTAAATTTTTTAAGAAGAGCAGGTAGGACCAAGATGGATATAGCTGTATGTCTTAGAGCTTAGGGGTGGATACAGAGATATCCAACCCAGTCTCTGGATAGTGGATACACTGTATATTCCCGTTTATTATGAATCTCATACCTATTGAGGTTCTAAATATATAACATGTAGGAATGTAAATTGATATGGGAAAGACTCAGAAAAGGCACCAGGAGTATCAACAAATAAATTTAAGTAGTGTTGAGTGTGATATCCACATAGAACTTCAGTTTGTATGGGATAAACCTGCCATGTATGGCTGATACATAGTTTATTCCTCAAGAAATATGAGAATACAGGAAGTATCTCCCTTTGTCTTTGTGATCCCTCACAAGATATTTATATTTCCCTAAGGGATAAACTCTGTATCTAAAACCACCAAGAACATAACTCCTATATTTGTACATTTTCAGATGACTTTGCGGATGCTACTCCAACACCACCTCCCATGAAGAAATCTAAACTGTCAACCAAAGACAAGAAGAAGAAGAAGAAGAAAGAGAAGAGAGAAAGTCCAAAGAAAACAAAAAGGTTATACATTTTATATTTACTTTGGCATATGTTCATAAGTCTTACAACAAAGATTATCAATATATAAAATCACCAGCCAACATTAACTATGTCAGAAGCCAGTTTAACAAAAATTCCCAATTCTAAATACACATGAATTGTTAAAATAATACTGCATGATAATATTTTATCCACCATAGCTACCACAGTAAAAAGTGAAGTGTTTAAGTTCCAAATGGTCAAGCACATTGTCTGTTGTAGACCTGCATTAGATGACAAACTGTATGAGCGAGACCTCCAAGCTGCGTTAGAGTTGTCCAAATCACAGTCAGAATCTCAAGACACCGAACATGTAGAGTCTGAGGGTACAGATACAACAGAACCAGTAGGTTAGGATCAAATATGTCACATCAAACATTACTCAAAAAATAGATACAGTGATGAATGAGGATTGCATCAGTATTTACTTTATTCATGCAATACTTTAATGAGCAGAGATCAAAATAATTCCTCTTTAGCTTAGTCTTCTATATCCAGGTGTTTTTAGTCAAGCATATACCAAATCTATTGCAAAATCTTTTGCAATTTATACCAACAGGTCAAAATATGGTAAATTTTAAAGATTTTGAGTGCAAGCTTATTTTTCAAAATTTCAAGAAGATCGAGCCAACCACTTTCTTCAATCCTGGAATCACTAAATGTCAAGGGTTCCCAGAAAATAACATCATAAAATTCAAAATAATATTGTTAAATATGTATCCAGAATATTCTGCAATGTAGAGGGTGTTCCAAAATTCATGAGAATTTTTTGAGTGATATATACAAGTCATGGGTGATTTTTATTCAAATGTTCTCCAGTCCTTCCATACCTTTGAATATTAAACCCTTATTTAATTACTAAATAATCTTTAATTTTTTCACCCAAATTTTTTAAAAACTCATATGTTACGATCATGTATTTGCCCCATAATATAGATGCTGACAAGATTGAAGTTATACAGGAAGGTATTCCTGTTAGTGAATCAGATACAGAGACTCCAGGACACAGGTCAAGACGGCCTCATAAAAAGGCAAAGTTCATTGATGACAGTGATGATGAATTTAAGGCAGAGTCTGATCTAGGTAATGTACAAATATTTCTTTAGAAGGAAGTGTCTCTAAACAGTCAGTTAAATAACGTAGACCTTGAAAAATATATGCTGACGTAGTAAATCTAGTAAGATTTCAATGCAAACTTCAAGAAATTATAGTATCTCCAATTTCAAGATGTCATTAATTGTATATACTAATTGAATTGATATATTTTCAGACCAAAATACTGTATCTGAAGATGACTCTGATGATAGTTTTAGTTCTGACTCTGATGATGATTTTGGATCTAGAAAACATAAAAAATCGAAAAGAGGTAGAAAGAAAGTGAAAAAACCCACAGCAGTTTCTCCATCAAAACCCAAGCCCAGACTTAATGCAACAAGTATGTTATAATTATTGTGTAAAAATTCATTATATTAAAGATTATGTACATTTGAGAACTAGCAAAATGTTTTTAAACCAATTTTTGCAAGGTGTTCAATGAATTGATATTGGGACTTTAAGAAGCACCACTTCTAGAATATAATGTAATGTAAAGACTACATTGTGTTCTTATTGGACAATACTGGACACTATATTTAAAATAATGAATGCTATCAATATCTCAGATCGCCCAGTCTTCATCCTTTATTTAATCTTAATGTCAGATAGATTATTGGGTTCAATTTCAGTAACATCTATCAATACACACAAAGGTGGTTTGACCCCAAAAGGTCGTGGAGGTCGAGGTATAACATCTAGAAGTAGCACAGCCATAGACACAAGCAGTCCACATGTTACACCAAGTCGAACCAGCTCTGGAGCACTGTTCATCAGGAAACCAAACTGGGCACCACCAGGTATGGTATCAAAAATCCTGTTTCATTTACATCTGCTCATGGTTTTCCTCAACATGCATCGTTTGATTTTCGGGTATTTATATTTGTATGTTAACTTCAACCTTCAACATGTACATGTATGTATGCAGTATATGTGTGTTTTTATAGATTTTGCCTTTTTTATTTTTATTGATGATTTCAAGTTGATCACAAACAATGTGTTTAGATTTATATTTTTGAATTATTTTGAGGCGAGATGATGAGACATCTCCCCAAAGAGTAACTCATGCATGACCCATATAAATGAAAAAATGGCAGATCAAGTGAAATGATTCTGGCTGCTAAAGCCTCAATCACATTTGCTCTATGGCAGCTGTACAGCGACTATAGTTTTAAAAAATTAAGATAGAAAATTTACATCTTGCTGCTTATGCTGCATATTTCTCTTGAATTTTTTAAGTTATGGCTGTCGTACAGTTGCTGTAGATCAAATATGACTGAGGCATAAGAGTTAATAAGAGTGTATTTTTGTAATTTCAGGACCAGCAGGCTCTAAGAGTGATGATGCACTTAAATCTCCCAGTACTGGAATACGTATAGGACTCTCTAAACATATACGTTTAAAACCCCTGCATGCCAATGTTAAAGTACCAAGGTAGCACGAACATCTATTACCATGGAGGTTGACTTCTCTGTATGTAATTGTGGATGTCTGGCTGTCAATTAATTAAACATCCTGGGGGCTTCTGCCACATTTTGTGTTGAGTTTGGGATAAAAAATGATTAACAGATCTTTATATACCATATGCCACAAGAAAATAAGACCCAAAAGTGGATTTTTGGTTCACATGGTGATCCTATGGAATTGCCCATTTGCTCATTTGTTTGTTCCTCTTTCTATCTACAATCTTTAGACAAATAAAAATTCCCATTCAAATGAGCCAGAAGCAACATTTGACTCTACCAAATGGTGCCGTTTTAGAATTTTTGGCACCGATTACGACATATTTGGGGTCTCATTCATTTGGGTCTTATTCTTCAAAATAGGTGTCAATTTTTAGAAAATCAATATTTTGTAAAACAAATAAAAAACTGAACTGAAATATGGCCCTAATTTTGTCAATGCAACATTTTAGCCCCCTTGTCAATTCCAGGTCTGCTCGACTGTACCTTCTCTGTGATATGATATATTTTCATATTGTAACATACATGAGTCACCATCCTGCGCGTATAACACACGGGTAAAAAATATAATTATTGAATGAAGCCTCTATTCTTAAAATGGTCCAAATAATTAGCAGATGGTAAACTGTAAATAAATGTAAATAAATGTATTATTTGTTAAGTGTAAATAAATATATCATAATCATATTGTGACATCTACAATAAATAGATCTAAATGATAGGTACTGTGCCACTGTATGGAATATATGCAAATAAAACATTGAAATACAATACATGTAAATGCAATTCAAAATTCCAATTCAGGTTTAAACCTGCATTTAAAAACAGTTCCCTGTTGTAAATGTAATGTTTTTTTTATTATATTTAAGAGTTCTCCCCATATACTATTTACATTGATTTTACAAGTTTTTGAATTTAAGAGTTGGTATCTTATTTGGGGTCATCTCAAAAGTTTGGCATTAAATTCTACACACTTGTTTTTAATGAGAGACTTAAACCACCCAACAATACTTGTAAAGGAACCTGAATTTTTGTGAATATTTTGTCAGTGTTTTTTTTGAAAATGTGTATATTTTAGTGGGAAATTTTCAAGACTGGCTAAGATTCCAATTTTAGTTTTATGTATATTTATTATTTACATATTTCATGGTACACAGAAGAATATTGACTCATTCAAGGAGCTGGTATAATTTGATCCTTTTACAGAACTTAAGTAGAAGACTGTTCAGATTTGGAGATATCTTAACTAGAGGTGTCATGGATACCCGATTTTGTTCCGATCCGCGGAATTATGCCCTCGGAACGGAACATGGAACAAAAATTAAGAATTTTGGTTCGGTTCCGGAACAAGAACATTTTACCCTTTCACAACTTCTGGCCCTTGAATCTCCACAAAACAGCATTTTTCTTTCAATATTTTGTAGCAAAAGAGGTTCATTCTTTTTACTCCTTCTCTTTAAAGAGTTTTGAAGAGCTTTTCGCTACTAAATAGACCTAGATGATCAGATTATTTTAATCTAATACACGCAGTCACTCTGTTCCAAACCGTTCCGAAATTGTTCCGTTCCGAATCAAAATGTTCCGAACCGTTCCGATTTTTTTTGTTCCGTGACATCTCTAATCTTAACAGTTTACTGTACTTTGTTGTCATTTATTTATTGGAGGTCACATAGAAGTGGTGACATTCTATTATGTTACCATTTTTGTGACTTTGTGTAAGGCATCGGCATCTGTAACTTTTGTAATTGTAATAGTGACATTTTTTATGACTATTTTTGTGCTTTCTTTGTCATAACCAGAACTGGTGACATATTTTCATAGTCCCCAAGTTTTGCTGTGTTTGGCAGTTGGTGTTTGGCAGTCAGTGGTTGGTGTTTGGTGTCTGTAATAAATGGCAGGTGGTCACATTTTGCATGTTAATGCCTTCTTTATATACATATCCATATTATATGAAGTGACTATCATTTTGTACAAATTTAGGGATAAATTTTGAATTATGAATATGTATTAAATCAATTACTTATGTCCTGTTTAGATTAGTACTTTATTAAAAATATAATAAATGATAAAAATATGATTTGGCATGTTTGTTAAATTCTCAATGTTCTAAATCAGAATTTACTTTTTCTTACCATTTGTACAATTGATTTGATTTCAATAGACAATTAAAACTCCATGTCTGGTCGAGTGTGGTAAGCTCAATCAATAAGACATACCCTACATTGGTGGTTCAACAAGGCAAAGTTATAATGGAGAAATATTGGTAGTAAATGTTTAGACAGCCACACTCCAATCTTCTCTATATACAGGGTGTCTGAAAAAAATGTACCCAAAAGTATATCAAGAGCACAGATAAACCAATCAATATTTTCAGACATTTTTTGCATGGTCATGTCATGAGTTTTTTTCTCAATACACCATTTTTATTTCAGTCTTGTCTTTTTGATGCTTTAACCCTTTACCATTTACATCACATAATCGATGTAACCTCATATTTCGATGACAGCCTGTATTCTTACTGCTACATTGTTCATCACATTTGATAATAATTCCGGTGGAATGTTTCGTTTTTGAGACACCCAATATACTATGGGACACTGGGCATTCATTTTGCCCAGGCGTTTATTTGAAAGCTCTCTAAAAGAATCCCCGTGGGCCTTTATTGAAAGGGAAATATTGATTTTCCAAATTGTGGGATGGGCTTTTCTCAACAGATTAATGTGAGTCTATTTTGAAAGAAAGTTATAATTGCGATCTGGATATTACATTTTTCATTAATTTCTTATGTTTACCTAGAAAAGTTCTGTCTGTTTCCACAATAATCATAAATGCCAGTAATCACCTACTACATACAAACATTAGATGTTTCAGGGAATGTTTTATATGCATACAAATCCTAAATTACTTGAAAAATGAACATCAAATGTCGATTGTTCAAATTGTCAGGATTGTACATGTACATCAGAAATTGAACAACCATTAAAGAACAAAAGTCACAAAGCGTTTAATTTATTTATAAACAAGTTTTATTATGCCAATTTAGGCATCTAATAGTAAGTGTATAAGATCTACAAAATATTGTACATATTGTGATATAATAATTTTAATGATATCAAATATACTTTTGCATGATAAGTAGATATGGTTTCTCAATCAAGAATATGATATTTCAATAATGTGTTATAACATTAAGATCTTTATAGCTTTAAAGTCATTTAATAATGTTTGAAAAAATATTAATATACTGAACTTTACATTGCAATCTGTACAGTGAACAATAATAGTTCGACAATAGCTGAAGATTAATCATCGAGGAGTCTGAGGTTAAAAAGGTATATAATTATAATGATGTGATAAAAGAAGATATATTCCCTTCTTATTAGTTTTGTTCATAAAAACAGATTGCTATTTTGATATGATCCTGTTTAAAGCCAATGATTGCATGATCCAATTCAATCCATATGATATTGATATTGATATTGACCATCAGTATGATTCTGTGACATTTCAAAGAATCACATACATGGTTAATAAATAATAAATAAATATCATGAAGCCACCTTAAGTAGGTACATTATACTGAATAAAGAGTTACAGCAGTTGTAAGGCAAGCATATTATAATCAAAGGGTTTCATGAGCAACAGGCAACATGAGAAAAACACCTACCCATCTTCACCAAAATCAATAGTACAATAACGTCATTTCGAAGGGCAATATAGTGAAATATTGGACCAAGGGCCTTCGGCCAAAGTTTTTTTTTACCACTGTTAATGACCAGGACTGAAACAGCAAGAAAATCTTACGCACTGAACGATATCTAATTTCCCAGGGAAAATTGCCAGTCATTAATTGCATTATTGACTGGCAAAATGGACCGCCACTATGATGTCACATATTGCTCAGGTCGATATAGTAAAATGAATGCCTTCGACTAGCAATAAAACCCCTAGAACTGACATGGCAAGGTGGTAATAATGTGTTCTGATAAATGCAATACTTTCATATTAAATAGTTTATTTTCAATATTTTTGCCTGTTGTTTCATTATTTTGCTTGTTATGTTGACAGAAAGTCTGCTGAAACTCATGTTTCTCTTGCAGGTGAGGCAATTTGGTAGAGTCACTCATTCTTAACTAGATAATGGCAACTCCGCGGAGTAGCAAATCCCAACGAACAAAATATCAATTACCGAATTCCAATCAATTATACTCATTACTTTGGTTAAAATTGAAAAAATTAGATTTTAGAATTGCGAATTCCTGCTAAGCAGCCATTTTGAATTTTCTGAGGTACAAATCTGAAAAATAATACCATAATTGTGATCTACTCCACAAATCCTTCAATTTGAGTATAATATAGCCATACTTTGAAGGGATCGAAAAATTATTGCGAAATCGTACATTAGACGGCCATTTTGAATTTTACGAGGCTCGAATCAGAAAAAAGATACAATATTTGCATCTTAATTGCCTTTCATTTGAGTATAATAAAGCTATACTTCAGAAAGATCTAAAAATTAGCGAAAATTTCTGTTTTCCTGACCCCCCATACACGGCCCCTGGGGGTCAGGATGAAAAACACGGAACATATGTGAAATAGATAAATGTTGTGAATATACTATATACTTTGGTTTAGAATGAAAAATTTATGATTTTTGCGAAAAAGTCCCGTCATTTTTAAAGCAGCGGCCATCTTGAAATATTTTTTTTTGCGTAAAACTATTCACCAATATACATTTTTCCACTAAATATGAAGAAAATCCGTCTACTAGTATTTGAGTTATCTTCCGGACGGACAGACGGACGGACGGACGGACGGACTGACGGACGGACTGACTGACGGACGGACGGACGGAGGGCTTCACTATATCCCTACCGAACTTCGTTCGTTGGGATAATTACAACACATGGCAAAGAATAGAGACTCGATGCAAGACATTAGGACAGTTACATATCTTTATGGTATTACTAAAAATATAATTCTGTCCAGAAAAATACATGTACTAATATACTAAGAGTATTAAAATAGCACTAAAATCTAAACTAATTTTTACTTTGTTTACATGAGAAAACTTAGCTATACAAGTATTTTACATATCGGCAAATAGTACACTTCATACTAGCGGACATGCTTTCAAAACTCATCTTACAAGTTTCTATGAATGTTCATCTCTCTGGTAGTAATGTACAAAGTTGTTGATTTTCTTTCTCAGAGATATTTATTTTTCTTTTTGACGTTTCGTTTCGTTTCGTAGAATAATTTTATTTCTGAAGAAGTAGGATGGACATCCTACGAAACGTCAAAAAGAAAAAGAAATATCTCTGAGAAAGAAAATCAACAACTTTGTATCTTACAAGTTCTTTACAAATAAAATACAGATGGATACCTTTAGATATCGTTTATAAATTTTCAAGTTGTTTTAAAAGTAAACCATAAAAGAATATCGGCAGATATGGTTTAAAATGAACATATAATTAATTACGTTCTTCAGTAAGTAAACCATTGAGATCCTTCCCTCATATTAAAATTTCAAAATGAACACAAAATGGCATTGAGGTATGGGAATATACACCAATAAATACCTTGATGATGAAAATGTTTCAAAAAAGTATTAAAAGAAAAAGAATGACCCAATAATGACATTCATCATTTAAAGGGTGGCAATGACTTTGTAAATGTAAAATGCTGACTAAAGAAATGAAAAAAATTGTTTAAAAGGTTTGCCATCGTTTTTTTACTCATGTATATATTACAGTGATTATACCACAAATCATACAACAATGTTCCATGCCTTTTCTCTTACAAACATGCCTTGTTTTCTGGCCTTTCTGTAACATTATTTCACTCGATTTTGCATTTCAGAATATGACCAACATGATATCTTACTTTTACAAGTATTATCTATATGTAAGCCATTGTTTTTTTATGATAATTTACAGTAGATATGTTATAAATTGTAGGCAGCTATTCAAATTATTTTGATAAAATTATTCAGCCTGTATGTACACAATGGATATACATAATACAAGTAAAATGTATTAATTTAACAATAGCTATCTGATGTAGATTCTTAATGGATAGAACATACATATTCCATCCAATGCATGCATTCTCTTCATAATAAGCCCAAAATGACAGGTTGACATTTAATGAAGCATGGCATATTTTCATCCATCTTTTCAGATTGCACTTGGTGACTTCTCTTGCGTAGAGGATAGAAGGGAATAGCACAAATGCTTGATAATCATAATGAAGATACACTCTGGTCTAGTATCTTTTTCCTCCTGCATTCATGAATTATTCCAAAATAGGGACTCCTTGCACTTTTGTTTTTCAACTTTGATAGTCAATTGTATGAAGGTTTATATCAATGATTGTAGCTCTAATCAATGGTTGAAGGTTTTATCAATGATTGTAGCTCTAATCAATGGTTGAAGGTTTTATCAATGGTTGTAGCTCTAATCAATGGTTGAAGGTTTTATCAATGGTTGTAGCTCTAATCAATGGTTGAAGGTTTTATCAATGGTTGTAGCTCTAATCAATGGTTGAAGGTTTTATCAATGGTTGTAGCTCTAATCAATGGGTGAAGGTTTTATCCACTACTAACGTTTTTTCAACGATTAAAGCTTTTGTCAACAGTGTTGTAGGTCTTATCAAAGGCTGAATATGTTATGAACTAATGGATGATGTGCCAATTGTCCAATGTGCTCTACTATGTATACGTCACATGATGAACTGAACTTTGGCGTTGAACTGAGATCTTTCCCTTTCTTTTGCACTAAACTGGATAAACGGAAGTAAACAATACTGCGGATAGCCCTTGAATATTCATCATCATACATAATATTCATCATTTAACATGTTCATCATTCATAATACTTGTCATTGCGCAGACAGCAGAATAGCACCATGGCAGCCACCATGCCCAATATCTGAAATAATAAAACATTTTTTGATATGGAAAATCAACTTGTATTTTATGTGCTATATCTTGATGATGAAATTAATTTTATTCAAATGTTAAATACAGTGTGTCCCAAAAAAAAGGAAACCAGCAATAGATTGCTTATTTCTCAAATATGAATAATAATAGGAAAATTTCACAGCTACCATCTGGTAGGTTATGATGGGTCAAAGTTGTTTTAACCCCAGTGTCCTTCAACATACCCCCATTCCTTTCAATGCAAATGTCTGCCCTTGATCTCATCGCACGTACTGCATCCCTGATGATGACACTGGGGTTAAAACAACTTTGAATGGACATTGGGATTTAAAAGGGGTGTTAAATATGATATGTGTAATTTTAATTGGAATAAATGAGTATAAGAGTGATATCCTGTTTGTTGTCACTTATCACTTTGTTATGATGGTGAAATTGACTTTGCTGAAAGTGGTACAAACTCATTTCTGACATGGTCACTTAAATCCCTTATAACTCAGTCATCCGTGAAGGAAAATAGACAACTTTGGTATCATAAGAAAGAGGACATCATAATCTATCAGATGGAAGCTGTGAAATTTTCTTATCATTATTCATATTTGAGAAATAAGCAATCTATTGCTGGTTTCCTTTTTTTTGGGACACCCTGTAATGTTCCACTTCTCTGGACCAATCTGTAAACACTATATATTAATGATAGTAGGCTGGTTGGTATCATATTTTAAAGTTTGAGAATCAAAACAATGCTTTGGTATGAGCAATGAGTATACCTCCTATTGTAGTGCCATTCCTCAAAATTTCATTATTCAAAGCAATTTTTACATTTCAAACATTGGTATACCTGTATGACTCCTATTGTAATGCCAACCACACCCAATATGTAGAGATTCGATTTTAACCAATACTTCATCTCACCAAGACAGCCCTAAAAACATACAAAAAGAAGTTTAAGCATCCGCATTTTATGTTATGTAACTTTATGCTGTTTAAAATAAAATAACAGTGTATATTTTGAAATCCAGAAAAAGAAAAAACTAGTTTCAATCAGAACAACGGCAACGCCAAAGCGTAGCGAATCCCATCGAACAGAAATGGCTGGCATTTTTACAAACGAATAGCAAATATCATAAACAACACACCAGAAAGGCCACCATTTTCAAAATGGTTGCTCACTAGCCAAGTTGTCATCAGAAGAAATAATATGCTTTTAAGTAGCCACCTCTAAAATTTTTGAAAAATCGCACACGTACTTGTAAAATAACACACATAAAAATGGTGGCCATTTTTCAAAATGGCCGACTACTCCCCAAAGTTTTATTAGACAATGTGCCATGCTTAAAGTATTCACATATCAAATATGAACAAAATCGCTCCACTACTTTTCGAGTTATAGTAAAATACGTTAAAATGGCGGCCATTTTTCAAAATGGCCACTGTCTACCAAAAGTGTCATTAGAAATAGACAGTGTGCCATGCTTATAGTATTCACATACCAAATATGAACAAAATCACTCCACTACTTTTCGAGTTATAGTAAAATACATTAAAATGGCGGCCATTTTTCAAATTTTTTTCAAAATGGCCGCCTTCTACCAAAAGTGTCATAGGACAGTGTGCCATGCTTATAGTATTCACATACCAAATATGAACAAAATCGCTCCACTACTTTTCGAGTTATAGTAAAATACATTAAAATGGCGGCCATTTTTCAAATTTTTTTTCAAAATGGCCGCCTTCTACCAAAAGTGTCTTTAGACAGTGTGCAATGCTTATAGTATTCACATACCAAATATGAACAAAATCGCTCCACTATTTTTTGAGTTATAGCAAAAATCGTAAAATGACGAGTAAAGGCTGCCATTTTTCAAGATGGCTGCCATGTGCTTCTTTAATATCTACATTTGTAGCATTATTAATGTCCTTTATAATTTTTTTACATTTAAAACATATTGCTATTACAGTTTTACATATTACACCCAAATTACTGTAAAATCGGCACTAAAATGGCTGCCATTTTGAAATGAGCAGCCATTTTGAAAATCGGCTTTCGAGCAGAACTTCTACCCCCATAGGTTATATGTGTACAAAATATGAACAACATCGGGCCAACGGTATTTGAGTTATTGCCCGGACGGACGGACGTACATACGGACGGACGGACGGACGGACGGAGGCGTTCCCTATATCCCTCCAAACTTCGTTCGATGGGATAATTATTACGGATATCATTTTCACTTTTCTAACTCAAGAAAATGGTGCTAAAATGCTCACTTACAATTCTGTACCAGAGGTGAGGTTTCCCTGAGTGACCACAGTTAGTGGAGCGTATGATACAGCATGAATCTGGCACCCATTTCTTCTCTGGCCACCCATTTGAGTTGTACCAGTCTGTATGGTTGGTCACGCCACAACATTTGAACTGGAAAATAAGAGCACAATATTACAGGGGTGTATAGCAAGTTTCAAGCGTCGATGCAGAAAAGAAGTTTTGGAATAAAGTATTTGGTGTTTGTTACAAAATATTTTGAATTATTGTCCATTTGAATTATTTTAGGCATTGAGGCCCTTTTATATTAATAGTCCCTCTATATCACGCGGTCCTAACTTCGACCGTTAATTTGAATTTTTGACCTACCGGATGTTTGAAAATCAAGGATTACGAGTCTCATACTGCACCGTTTTTCTTCAAACTTGTTCCATTCAACACCATAACACAAATCCCTTTCTGATGGTACATTATTCTCTTCAACAGAGTCCCTACTTCGCTGCTAGAACAAGAGGCTCTTTACAATAAAGTAATGCACCGACAGAAAGGCAATTTTGTTCTGCTTTTAATGGAATAAGTTTGAAGAAAAATGGTGCAGTATGGGACTCACAATCCTTGATTTTCAAGCACCTGGTAGGTCAAAAATTCAAATTAACGGTCGAAGTTAGGATCGCGTGTATATGTGGAATACATAAAACCGAAATGTTTTGGTGGAACCAATGATGTTCCTTGTACTCACATCTTGTTGCATAGTTTCCCAGGCTGCTGATAATCCCTCCTCATCCCTAGAGCTTGGGGGTGGATACTTCTGTTTGATACCTTCACGCAGCTCATCTTTGATTAATCGCTCCACCTAGGATCAATAGATTTGATATTTAATCGCCAAGGAATTTTCCTCAGAATGTACACATAGTATTCAATAATAATATACATGTATAATAGAATACGATGTTGAATACACCATCAGTATCGACAACTTGACAAGAGTGTGGCTATTTATATCAATGAGTGAAATAAAATAATACCACAAAAATCATATATTTTATTTAATTTAAATCATAATGCATGTAATGTAGTATTTTGTCATAATGAATGTGGCATCTGTGAGATGTTCTCCATATTTCTCCATATTTCTCCATATTATTATGCACCATTCAAAAGTTTGCCTGAGCCCCCCCCCCCTCTCCACATGGAAGGGCTGATGATTATTACAAAATAATAAAAATTGGGTTTATAGATGCCCTACCCGAGGAGCAATCTAGTGAGTCAATTTCAGTACCCTGGGAGCAATAATAGCTTGTCAAATCTAGTCTAAAATCCTGGAAAACAAGAATACACATTTCAAAAGTCCCTACCCCTTGATGAAGTGCTAGGTCAAAATCAGAATTCCTCCCCATGGGACAAAACTTTGTGTCTAATTTCCCATGGGGGGGGTCTCGTTCAAACCTAAATAAAGTTAGGAACAAAGATTATTCAAGCTCCAGTAAAAAACCTACCTCAGTCCTGTATATAAAGGCCAAGATCCCAGCAACAATCTCAAGGGCAAATATCACCACAACAAACAGAAAATACTGCAATAAAATATGTTCATGAAATTATTTAAGCATTCAGTATTGCCTTTTTAATTTCTGGACAAATTACAATATTGATACCAGAGATCTCGCCAGGATTTTTTCTCAGGTGGGTGCAAAATTCTCATTTTCACAATTCAGACCAAAATTGGTCAAAATATGCCAATTTTTCATGATTTTTCTTATTTTCAAATGAGTGCAAATGGATTTTCAGGTGGGTGCAAGCCTATTTTCAAAATCGTAAGTGGGTGCTGCCCCACTTACTTTAATACTGGGGAGATCACTAGAGACAGTTTCTGCAATATTTATTTGGACACATCTTCATAAATCATAACCCTTTTCTAACTTAAATGTTTGATTGCAATATATTTAGTCTGACAAATCATGAAAATAAATGTTAACAGCCTTGATGGGTTTCATACTTTTATTTGATTAAAGATGTCACTCACTGTAAGGAGCATGCATTGGTTCTCCATGATTGCCCCACAGCAGCCAAAGAAGCCAATGACAAGCACAATAACTCCTGCTGCTATACACAGTGCTGTAGCACTAAGAAAGCTGAAGTTGGGAGCAATCGAGGCATATGTCCCCTTAGCCATGTGAAGCCATATTCCTGTCCCAAGCACACCGCATCCCAGCAACTGAAACAAATACTTTAACCCCTAAGCTATGGCAGATTAAAAACCATGTAAAACAATACATTTTTTTTCAGTTTGGTCACAAAAATAGTGGTTGGTCAACTTCTATCTTCTATGAAATAATTAAAATGGTTGAACACATTAAAAATCTCAAACGAGGTAATGGAGCATTGTAAAAGTGAGACTAAAATATAGCTAGATGCAAAATACATGACGTAAATGCACTTTGTAATTTAAACGACCAATGCTTAGTTTGAAAATATTTTTTGTATACTATTTTCTATTATGAATCATTATTCAACTTTGATTGTTAAAATATACATGTACATAATTATATACTGTTTTTTTAGAATATTGGTACTTTCAAATCCCCAAATAGTCCTGTATGTTCTACACATTAATGCACATGCACATGTCTGAAGCTTCGCAATTAATTTGCACAATGCGATAGACACCCTAGTTCTCATACAGTAGCAAAATGTCTAACAATATCACATAAACCATACAGAAGGTCATAATATTACCCCAATGTATGAGTATATTGGTGAAGAGTCCAGGCATCATGCCAGACATATGTTACACATTCCTAGGAGAATACTACTCTCTGCTAAGTATCCATATATTCAAGATGTTAGATAATACACTCCAGGTTAACAACATTTAGTTTTAAAGGTAACATTATTTTTCTTGACTATAACACAAGAATATACCCCTCCCCCCTATCCCCCATCAAACCAATATCTCTTGGTCATATCTCAAAAGGCAGTTAGTTTCTCAAAATAGATTTTATCACACAAGATCTAATGAACACTCCTTCATAAGCTTTGGATTCATGTTTATAATGCCATACATGTTTGAGATGGAAATTTTTGGCTAATTGTGAATTTGTGATACAAGACCAAATAAAGAATTGAAAATAATACGTCTTTTTTATTGTATCACCCTGTATTATATGTACCTAAATTCATAAAAAACGACTTACCCAAAACAGTACATTAAAAGCAAAGAATATGTATTTCACGACGCTGTAGGCTTTGACTCCCATTCTGCTGACTATTTAGTAAAGTCCTTTCAGTTCAGAGTTGCTGATTCCTTATATCTAGGGATAAAAATAATCCAATGAGTTAGACCTCATTCATGTCTTATGTTCATTTAATATTAAAAGTTATAAACACTGGTGATAAGATTCACAATTGTATGTCTATATTGTCTAATCATTTCAAATCAATATATACTGCACTTTTATCATTTCAAACAGCCATTTTGATGTTATATCACGTTTGCATGTGTAAGTTGTATTTTCATTTATATTCATAATGAAAACTCAGTTAACAATTAAAGTATATCATCGCACGCTGCTTAGTGATTAAAACAGGCAAATGAGCCAATTAAGAGTAGAGCTCACATGAATATTGATGTATCACAATTAATAAATGCCTGAAGATATAATCAGTTGAGGTTAACTTTTATTTCATAAATAACAACTCAGATAACAACAATCTTTGGAATTTTTGATCTACAGTATTTACCCTTTGGCAAAACCATTCTATTTGAAAATTGAACTTCAATTAACAGAATTAAAATGAAAATACAGATAATATGTTTATAAACCTGCCAATCAATAAATGTAACTTTATACATATATCAGGTGTCCCAAAAAAATTGAGCCACTTTTTGACAAGTATTATCTCAGCAACTGATGAACCAAATTCACTGAAAATGTGTACAAAGTAGCCCAGGAGTATTGGTAGCAAGGTATAAAAATATGAAAAAGATCAAGTAAATATTATGTGAGTACTAAGAAATTCAAGATAGCATGTCATAATAGCCCATACCGGAGCAATGCAATGTGAACCTTATAACATTTCTACCCAAAAAATGAGAAGCAATTTGACAAGTAATTTCTCACCAATAGATGAGCCAAATTCTTCGAGAACTTTACCTTAGGCATTTTAGGTTATCCTCTGCTAGTGCCACGAATATGTAAGAGATTGGTCTCATAGTATTTGTGTATTTTAGAATTAAAGACAGTATGTCAAAATAACCAATATCAATGTAAAACTCACTTATTAATCCATTTCCAAGTAAAAATACTTTTCCGCATTTTTTCTTACAATATCACCTCCAATAAATTTGAGAATGAATTGGATTTTGGATATTTGGGATGAATGAAAAGAATTGATCAGATATCACTCAGATCCCATCGAACACAATGAAGACTGAGCGTGCGAAGACGATAGCTGGTACAAACATTTTTGAAGTCTCATATCAGAGCTCCGGTATGGGAATTTTTGACATGCTGTTTTGAATTTCTTAGAACTCACAGAATATGTACTTGATCTTTTTTATATTTTTACAACTTGCTAAAAATACTCTTAGACTACTTTGTACAAATTTTCAGTGAATTTGGATAATCAGTTGCCGAGATAATACTTGCCAAAAAGTGGCTCATTTTTTTTGGGACACCTGATATATTTAAAAAAACAATCGCATGATTTTCATTCTGATACTCATAGCATCTTTCTGTTTCACCTGAAACATCTCAGGGCTGAGAAGAAATGGTTTATCATGATGTATGACTTTGGATAAAGTAAGAAGGGGAGAAACAAATAGAAAAATGCTCTGTAGCAAATTTTGAATATCATCAATTTAATTCATTTTCATCAATTAAATGCAATAAATACCCTTTCTAATCAAAAGACCACGTGCAGTATGGCAAGTGATTTAAGACGGTCATATCTTTCACCATGAGTACTTTCTGGGCATAAATACAGTGGCTTTTATTTAAACAATATGTTTTCTTTCAAGTAAAGTACCCCTGATGATAAAAATATAAATCAAACAATTCAAAAAAATTATGAATAGGGACCCCATGTCAACATTTTTTTCAAAATATTGAACCTATTTACTCAAAAGAGGATCTTCTTTTTCTGATTTTTATTGCATGGAAACATTATTCAACAAGGAGTCTAAGACATGTTCAAAAATAGAATGGTATTGAAAGTCTAGTTTTGAAGATATCAATTTTCGATGACCAAAATTATGCTGAAAACAATGGATAGCATGAGTATTCCCTTTGGGAAAATAACATGGGATATGTGGTTTTTAACTTTAACTCATTTCAATACCCATCCCCTTTTCAGAAATTGTTAATATAGTGTAGAGGAGACTTTTGATATGTTTAAATTGAGAAAAACAAGATCCTCTTTTTAGAAAATGAGCCTAACATTTTTCAAAAAGTGCCAAGATGGGGCCCTAATCCATAATTTTTCAGAGAGTTGGATTGATATTTTACTATCATGGGGACTTCACTTGAAATAAAACTGTTTTAATAAAAGCCACTGTATTTATGGCCAGAAAGTACTCATGGTGAAAGATATGACTGTCTAAAATCACTTGCCATACTGCAGGTGGTCTTTTGGCCTCATTTATATACAAATAACTTAGGTAAAATAATCATTCTATCATATTGCAATAAATTCCTCATACTAATTCAAATAGATGATAATAATAGTGTATAATGCTGTCAAGAAGTAAACCCAAACATGGCATTGTTATTGTAATTGAATTAGGTTGGTCCCTCATTAAATACACTTGACGAAACGATCTGAAAATTGTTAAAAGTAGGGGTCATTGCAACAGCTCCGCTCCTCAATATTTTATCAATTCTGTTTTCTTTATGTGGAATGAAAAATGAGTATCCACTCCAAATGTATAAGTATAAATCAGTATTATACATATCAGGGGTTTCATTAGCAGCAGGCAACAGGTGCATGAATTTTTACTGGTTGTTTTCACAAAATTGCCTGTTGTTTTTAGGGACTTTTTAACTTTTTCATTAATGATGTCCATTAATTTTGCCTGTTGTTTTCATTTATTTAGCCTGTTGTGAGAAATTCTAGTGAAGCCCCTCATGCCTGCACACTCAGTGGCCATAGAATATGGTAACTCAAACTCAACAGATCCGCCATTTATACAGCTCACTCAGCAGAAAAATGGAGGCCATTTTGAAACGAAATTCCACTTCGCTAAATTAAAATATATATTTAACAATCAATTAAAACTGGGATATAAGCTGATATTCTGCAAATGTGTACATAAAGGTCGAACTCCCATGCAGTGTCTCGGTATAGACACTGCGGCGGGCAGATGAAGAAAATTCCCAAAATTTGGGGAAAATAGTTCCCCTTTTCATCATGTATGTGGTCAATTTTCACACAACTTATGAATTCATGAATGTTCCCCAAACATTATTTTGTCAAAATATTTCAAAATTATTGAAATATGAGAAGAAATCACCGCGGAAGGAATTCTGAGTAAAAGTTTTGTTGATAATAGTTTACCGCACGTGTTGTTTATTAGTTAATACGCGCAATTCAACCAATGAAATTATCTAAATTTTACAATCACGCAACCTGTGCATGGGACTAAAACCAATCACGTCAGTTGTTTATTACGAAGTTACCATGCTTACGATGAGATACCTGCCCGCCGCAGTGATATATCACTGCACAGGAGTTCGCATAAAGGTATGTTTTATATAATTGTGCCATAACAACTGTGCATGTGTCACCATGATTTACAAATATTGAATATCATGGCGGCTCTAAACAATCACTCAAAGCCCGAATATAGAGAAGGCTTTGGACCTAAGTAAGGATACATTACTCGAGTCTCTAGCCAATTCTTGGCTAGAAGTGATTCCATCTGGAACACCGTGAACTATTGTAAAATCTTCAGCCGTCGTTCAATAAATTTATGTAATATTCTAAAAATCGTTCTGTTAATATTTCATGAATTGAAATGGTAACGGACTAACGGCTTGTCTTGTTGATGAGATATTGAACGTTTAAATAGACGTTGTCTCGTTCTCCATTTTGAAAGCATGCCTTTTTTTCCGCTATAGCGATTTAGTCAAGATGGCTGCTTGTTGTAAAATATTTCCTTCAGTTTTATTTTATTCTTTTGTGAATAAATATCCTGCGAAGTAGACGAATGTATGAACTAGGACTGCGTGTAAAGATCAATGAAGGTGAGTTTATTATGTTTACATCAATAAAAATAAGATGGCTGGGCAATTTAAAGGCAAATTCAAAACAACAAAGAGTGTCTTATTTATATTCTATGGCCACTCAGAATGGATACACAGTCGACAGACAGTAGGCTAGACTAGAGTCCATTTCACTGTTGAATTACGTCAGTAAAACCTAAAAAATAAGAAATCAAAATATCATCATGCAAATATATATGGAAAAAGATGTTCCTATTGTACATGAATGGCATTTGTATATCTTGGATTGCTTTTAGTTTGGCTTATAAAGTGTGTGGCCTCTTATATATGGATGCTTCTCTGCCATGTTATTTTCAATAAGATTAACATGGCTGAAATTCTTCAAATTACAAGAGGGCACAGACTTATTGCACAAAAAACTAGAAAATTAGAAATATACAAATGTCATTCACGTACAATATGAATCTATTTTTCCATATATTATTGCACAATGGTCTCCTGATTTCTTATTTTTGGGGTTCTACTGACGCAATAAAACAGTGAAATGGACTCTAGGCCTAGCCTAGTATGTATCCAACAGACTGACTAGAAGTCAGTCTGTTATGATGTACTACTTTCCTGTGGAAATTGCAGTGAAATTTTTTGCATAAAATTATCAATTAGAGGAACCATTTCTTCAATAATATAAACATTACAAAATTTCAATGAAATAGTAAGGTACAATTGAAAGCAATAAAAAGTAACACAGCATATTGTCAAGTGGAAATAAAGCTAGTTGAAAAACAAATGTGCAAATTAATTTTACCAATCGGCCATTTTGAATAGCACTTCCTATGTAAACAAATATTTCATACTACCAAACTTTAACATAGGTGCCTTATACAGGGCTGTCAACTTGGGACCACCTAATATGAGTGACTAGTGTGCGCCAAAACTCCAGAAAATCCCATAAACTGATGTTGAGGTAGGTTACTATGAAGTGACCCATAGTCATTATAGATTGGTTCATTGACTATTCATTTCTACTTGTCTGCAGTAAAAAAGGTGACACGAAAGGGCTAAACGGCTTGCCCCAAGGATCAACCGTCAAAAAGATGAGTTTGAAAAAATCTTTTTTTTTCAAATAATAGCAGCGAGTATATGAAATAGGAGGAAACTTTGATATTGATATGTTTGATACTCTGTTTGGGTGTGGTCATTTTTATTAAAAACAATAATGGTGAAGAATTATATATTTCTGACCTTAAAACGCCATTTTAATGCAAAAGTCACCGTTGTTAATAATAATATTCCTATTTTACCTATTCAATGTTTTGTAACTATTACAATTACCATTATATTAGTTTTTGCCAAAGTAAATAATTGTAGGGCTCACACAAGGATCAACTTTATTTACAACTTTTTCAAATCTCGTGATGTTACGAAAAAATACTACGTTTAACAAAATTCTACGTGTTAAATATTAAACAAAATAATGATAATGTGTTTGTTTTATTGTTTCAACTGAAAAATCACAATTTATTGCTCTTGCTCTTAGAGCGGCAGGGCATATACCAGTATGAAAAATCGTCAATACAGTTGATCCTTGTGTGACCCCTACAATAATTTACTTTGCCAAAAACTAATATAATGGTTAGTCGGTTATATGGAAATCATTTGATAGGTAAAATAAGAACAATATCATTGACTTTTGAACAAAAAAGCATTATATAGTCAGATGTACCACATTTTGATCATTATTGTTTTAACCATAACTAAATTTTGCGAAATTTCCTTTAAATTTGCATTTTTGGAAACACATCTGCTTTTACCGATTCAATTCAGAACCACAATAGAAAGTAACTCTTTCATGAAAAACTTCGTCAACATGACTGAAGATTACTGAGTGCAGTCATTAATATGACCTCATATTTGGACAACCTCTCCTCTGTTGAAATTTTACTTCAAATTAGCAAATTTTATTCAAATCATCATGAAACAGAAATGATCAACTGTTATTTTTGAAATGCCAATTGATAAAGTATATTGCACTACGTGAATTGCAATGGAAAATTGATTTGACATATTTATCTAAACAAAACAATATTGGTCCATGTTTTCTTTTTAATGGAATTGTATCTTTGAAGCTTGGCTGTTTAGTTCAGGTGGTAGTTGGCTGTTTAGTTCAGGTGGTAGAGCATCAGCATCTAGACTAGAAGGTCCTAGGTTTGGTTAGACAATATTCTTGTTTATCTTTAATAATACTAGCAATCTATTGTCTGAGTGGTTCACAGCAGCCCAACATGGCCTTAAAAATAAATCCAAATACCTAGATATTGACTTTTGACATTAACCCATCAGTAATGACTTTGACCTCAAGTTGCCTAATAATGGGTCACCAAGGGCCACATTGTCCCCCGAGTGCCTTTAAACACCAAATACCTAGATATTGACTTTGAACTTGAGATGATCCTGAATTAAAATATTAAATGATGACTTTGACCTCATGTCACCTTATCATGAGTCGCCAAGGGCCACAGCACGACATCAGCCCATGTGGCCTTAGAACGCCAAACACTGAGACATTGGCCTTAGATTGACCTTGATCTCAGTCACATTTCAATGGAGTCAAGTGCAGCAGCAGCCCCAAAACACCAAATACTAAGATATTGATCTATGACCTTGACATGACCTTGACCTATAACAATGACATTGATCTCAGGTCACTTTATCATTGGTGATCAAATGTCAGTGTAGCCCCACACAAGCCAACTACCTAGATATTGACATTTGACCTTATTATGTTTTTGAACCATAGGTATTGACTTTGACCTCACGTCACCTTAACATGAGTTGCAAAGGGCCACAGCAGCCCACAGGGACTCAAAACTCCAAATACTGAGATGTTGACCTTGTAAGAATGACCTTGACCTCAGGACACATATTCATGGGTCCTGACGTGAAGCAGCATCCCCAAAATGCCAAATATTTAGATAGATTTAGATCTATGACCTTGAGATGACCTTCACCCTAAACAGTGACATTGACCGTAGGTCACTTTATCATTGGTGATCAAATGTTACTGTAGACCCACAGTAGCCAACTACCTAGATATTGACTTTTGACCTTGAAATAACCTTGACATCAGGTCACCTTATCATTGGTCGCCAAAGGTCACAATTGTTCTCAATTGGTTTAAAATGTCAAATTGCTAGATATTGATCTTAGACCTTGAAATTACCTTGACCCATTCAGACCTTGACCTCAGGTCACCTTAACATTGGTTATGAAGGGTCAAATTATCGGGCATTTGTTTTAAAAACCCAACTAACTAAATATTGATATTTTTCCTAGAAATGACCTTGACATTTCTAGAATTCACATTTTATGAACAAAATTGAAACATACAAAGTTGAAAACTGTCCTTTTGAAAATAAAATTGCTGCTAATGTTTCAAAACGAATGTATTTGTATTTTAAACTAAATAAACTGAAAGAAATAGACTTAAATTATTTCATTTTCTATCAGACTTAGTAAAATTTTAACTGTTCTAAATGTAAATGTTGCAATGAAAGCTCACATATATCTTGTTGGATATCAGTTGAGTGCAGGAGCTACTACAGGTATCACTCTGACATACATCCGTGAACAAATCAAACTTGATGTGATGCAAATCGGCATCTTTTAATTTGACGTCCAAGCAGAATGTTGGACAAAATGGTTAATTGTTAGATAAACCATCAACACAGGAATTGTCACAAGTTGCATTTATAAAATAATTCCTGCCTCATCACTGTTACACCTAATACTACAAGACGTTGCCTCGTCTAGATCACTGTCTGCAAGCTAAAAAATATCTAATTTACTGCTTGCTTTATCACAATAAACTTTTGTTACAAATAAGTACAGTAAAACATGCGAATAGAAGGCCCATTTGATATTAATATGTAGAGATAGTCCACTTTGGTGTGGTAATTTTACTGCAACAACTATTACGCCTTTTTATTCAAGAGTCAATCATTTTATTACTATTTTACCTATGAAATGATTTTTATATATTCGAATAAACGTTATATTAGTTTTTGACAAAGTAAATTATTGTAGGGGTCACACAAGGATCAACTGTATTGACGATTTTCATACTAGTATATGTCCTGCCGCTCTAAGAGCAAGAGCAATAAATTGTGATTATTCAGTTGAAACAATGAAACAAACACATTATCATTATTTTGTTTAATATTTAACACGTAGAATTTTGTTAAACGTAGTATTTTTTCCAACATCACGAGATATGAAAAAGTTGTAAATAAAGTTGATCCTTGTGAGACCCCTATAATTATTTACTTTGGCAAAAACTAACACAATGGTAATTGAAACATTAAGAAAACATTGAATAAAGAAAATAGGAATATTATCATTAGCAACGATGACTTTTGGATTAAAATGGCATTTTAAGGTCAGCAATGTATAATTCTTCACCATTATTGTTTTTAATAAAAAATTCCACACCCAAATGGACTATCATAAATATCAATATCAAATTTGCCTCCTATTCCATATCCTCGCTGCTATTATTTGAAAAAAATGATTTTTTTAAAACTCATCTTTTTGACCGTTGCACCTTGGGGCAAGCCGTTTAGCCCTTTCGTGTCACCTTTTTGACTGCAGACAAGTGAAATCGAATAGTCAATGAACCAAACTATAATACCATTGGGCCGCTTCTTAGTAATCTACCTCAACATCGGTTTAGACTAACTAAGCCACTTTGGAAGCGATTTGGCGCATACTAGACTTACAAATGTTGGACACCGAAGTCCAAATCTGAACACTTTTGTCCAAATTTTGAACACCTTTGGCCAACTTTTAAACACCTTTGGCCAAAGTTTGAGCACCTTTGCTAAACTTTTATCACCTCAAATTTTTATCACCTCAAATTTTTCGGGGGGGGGGGGGGGGGGGGGGGGGGGGGGGTAGGTACGAAAATTTCCAATGAACATGCGTGACAATTATGGGATTCGCGTGACAAATCCGAACAAATTGCGTTCGTTTTTTTCCGACGTTCGTATTTTTACCGTATCATAAACATATTTTGAATTTTTTTTTACAGAAACATATTTGCGTGACAATTACCAGGTAAAATGCGTATTTGCGTGACATTTTGTGTCACGCAAAAAAAACTGGCGTGACTTCAAATTCTTCAGCAAATGCGTGACAAATACGCAAATTGCGGGACAGTTGACAGGCCTGCTTATAGTCTGAATATAATTCAGACTAAATAGGATATAGTCTAAGGCCTAGCCTAGATCTACTCTCTGGAAAGTGACAAAATCTCAAAAAGGACTCACCATTTATTGCATTTCCTAAGTAGGTTTGATGGTCAGCAAAGTGATATTTACTTAGACACTAAGACATAGAATTCATTATTCACAATCTAAAGTGGCTAGTACTGGCTACCTTATTGATGATAAATAAAGTGTAAAAACTTTCTTTTTCTTTCTGAAGTTTGAGGTCAAAAGGTCAAGGTTGATTGGCAATGTAATTTTAATGTCTTCATTGAATGAACAGATTGACTTCATTGTAAAACATTCTTCTCAATAAATAATTATCTTGTATAAGAATTCGTATATTAATATGTAATATCATCAAAAACGGTGCAATATGAGACAACTATTACGACAACAGTTTTGAGAGTATTTTAGAAAACCCGGATGTTGAGGAAAACACATTTTTCATGTTTTTATATTCAGTAAGTTATTTCTAGATTTTACTGGTAATGGTGTTAATTAATGCTCATCCAGACAATTACAATTTCCAGCTGTCTTTTTACAGATGTTAGTTGCTGATTGGTTGTGATCAGTAAGTGGTAAATCCTTCCATTGTGTGTTTGAATTTTTTTGTCACACAGCACAGTGAGTGAATTGGTGAATAACATAGGGAATGGTCTATAAACCCTTCGAGGGTTTGTAGAAAAAACCGGAAAGGGCTACCGGGTACTGGGTATTAAATCCTCTATGCTGGGTTCAAATTATCCTGTTCCCGGACTATAGTCCTGTACGGAGCCAATACATTTGCCTGTACGATTACAACTTGGGAGAATTATCTACGCCCCTTTCACTTAAGAAACCTACCTCAATGCATTCTAGAACTCAAAATGTAACTTCTAATATATTGGAACCGCCGATTGTCTGGGTTAGTTGGCAGAACGAGGTCTTTTTGTTTCTTATGGCTCTTTTGGTCGAAGTTCGATTAAGATGGCGGTTATAACGGAATTTCCCGAACTCTTCCGTAATAGCACGAACTTGGTTTTTCGTTACTTCACTTCCATGTAAAATGGATTTGTTTCCGGTAAGAAACATTGTTTAACCATTCGGTATACAGTTAAGAGCATAGGATGTCGACATGGCAGTAAATATTGAAAATATTGTCCGAAATTTTCGAAATTCCCTCTTACCCGAAACAAATCCATTTTACACGGAAGTGACGTAACGAAAAACCAAGTTCGTGCTATTACGGAAGAGTTCGGGAAATTCCGTTATAACCGCCATCTTAATCGAACTTCGACCAAAAGAGCCATAAGAAACAAAAAGACCTCGTTCTGCCAACTAACCCAGACAATCGGCGGTTCCAATATATTAGAAGTTACATTTTGAGTTCTAGAATGCATTGAGGTAGGTTTCTTAAGTGGAAGGGGCGTAGATAATTCTCCCAAGTTGTAATCGTACAGGCAAATGTATTGGCTCCGTACAGGACTATAGTCCTGGAACGGGATAAGGTTCAAACTGTGTAGAGTTATCCCGTTCCCGGACTATAGTCCTGCACTGAGCGCATTCATTTGCCTGTACGATTACAACTTGGGAGAATTATCTACGCCCCTTACACTTAAGATACCTACCTCAATGCATTATACAACTCAAGATGTAACTTCTAATATATTGGAACCGCCGATTGTCTGGGTATATCGGCAGAACGGGAACATTTCTCTTTTTCATCGAGAGAGATTCCATCACTTTTCAAAATGGCGGTTGGATTTAAAAGGGGAATCCCCCGTTTGGCTGTCCCGGATGTAGCCCGGAAGTACCAATATGGAGGAATTTGACGGTTGAAATAAGTTAAATGTTACACGCAAATATTGCGATCAAAAACGAAAATGTCTTCGTTCTGCCGATAAACCCAGACAATTGTGGATTCAACTACACGAAAAGAATGCTAAATTACCAAGGAATCTATTGAAGTAGGTATCAGAAGTGTAAGATGAGTAAAAAATTCTCCCATGTTATAATCGCACAGGCAAAAGATTGAGATGTTCACAGGACCATAGTCCGGGAACGGGATAAGTGTAGAGTAGATTTCATGGCCTGACTTCGTCGGTAGAACCATGGGCATTCAACTAGAATTGAACTAGTTGAATGCCCATGGTAGAACTTGAAAAATTTATCTGAAGATTAGGAGTCTTACTTACCCTCTCGCACCCCCCCCCCCCCCCCATAACCAATGAAAATATAAATATGATGATAGTGGAAGAAAAGAGCCTTAAAATTCTTTTTATTTGAAGCTTCTAGCTCAATCTTGAAGGAAGTTACATACATTTTTGTAAATTCAAACAAATCTTACACGTGTTATGTATTCTTATTTTTCGTTTTTTGGGTACCCGGTTTTTTCGACCGGGTACCAGTTTTGAACCCAGCATGGAGGATTTACTACCCAGTACCTGTTTTTTTCTACAAACCCACCCTTCGACCTGCACCTTTGATCCTAGATGCTGGCAAACCTCTAGTATGAGCAGAAGCTCAATACATATTCCTTAAGATGAGACACCGAATCTTTTTCCGGGCTCCTGTCTGTCCAAATATCAATGCTGCCGACACATTTCTTGACTCACAAGAGCATCATTCAGATTTGGACAGACAAGAGCCCGCTGATGACTTATGTTTCTAAATCGAAATTTTAGAAAATTGTCTGAAACAAAAATGGCGGTCATCTTTTTTCTTTTTCTATGAATGATCTCAATTTTTCAAAGGTTGTATCATTTAGAGCAATATATTGGGCACATTTTCTGAAAAATTCAGAGGGTTATGTTCAGTGACCTTCCCTAAGCGCCTACTTTTAGCTATATTCAGTCACATTTTCAGAGGACTGGAAAACTTATTTCATCATGTTTAGGGTCATTTTTACCATGTACATTGTGATCCTGGTCATGTAAATGACACATGAAAGTAATTAAACTGACTGGAGGTCAAAACAGAACTCTGTTATCTTGGTTCAAATAACGTTTGAAATCCAGCATGGTTTTGTCATTTCCTGTTTTGTCATTTCCTATGGTTTCCTAAGTACTACGGCACCTTAATATTATCAAAAAAGGGAAGCATTGAACTGCTCATTTTGAAGTCCTCATGTTTATAAAACAGAGTTGCATACCCTTCTCGTGGAAAGAATAAGTAAAGTAATGCTACCATTTCATTTGACATCATTTTACAGTTTCGGTTAAAAATTAGTTATACATATATTTTTCTGTAAATTTTGATAATGCAACTGCCTCTGCTTCTCACATACCTGACTAGGTCCAGAGGTAAAATCCCTGTGACTCTACCATATTCACCAAGGTTTAAACAGATGCTCTTGTATTTTCAGTTACAACACATTCAACAATGATTATTCCAGTTCGCTGTTTCACTTGTGGTAAGGTCATTGGGAACAAGTGGGAACCTTACTTAGGTCTACTACAAGCTGAATACACAGAAGGGTAAGTTACTTTGCATGTACGAGTACTATCTATTAACTTTTATCTGTATTCTGTAACCTCTTCACTCTCTTGTGTCAATCTACCCAAGCTCATATCATACTCTAATTCTAAATTCTACAAATATTTGACATCTGTTATATTTCATTTTCAAAAAAGTCTGTTTCATTTTTTACAAAGCTAGAAGGGTGGTCTCTGAGAGTGGTCTTGCAGTTTGCAACATGTAAAGAAACAAGTGTGAGCTACTTTTATATGAATGCAACCACAAAGATTATGTTGTAGAGATTCAATGAGCTTACTTGACCATGCTTCCCTCGTTCCTTTATGAGTATTTACACAATATACCAGTATCGCATCAAGTCTTTGGACCTCCCCCATATCTTTCACCACCAAAAGCAGGGGCGGATTTTGTGTTAGGGGGGGGGGGGCGTGTGATAATAACTGTGAGCGAATTAAAAAAAGAGTCAAATTTTGTAAAAAGCGATGAGGCAAAACACGAATTTTCCGACTTTTTTTCCCCCACGCCCCCGTCTAGATCCGCTTGTGAAAAGTGAGGTGTGTTGAGATAAAATATATAATTAAACACTAATCTTTTGGAATGTTTATGCTTTCAGTGACGCCCTTGATGCCCTTGGCTTGAAGCGCTATTGTTGTAGGAGAATGTTGCTTGGACATGTTGATCTCATAGAAAAGCTCTTGAACTATGCCCCATTGGAGAAATGATACCAAAACTCATTATTCCAAACAAGACTGTATATAGCTGTACATACCATGGTGAAATAAAGGAAACACATAGACAGCGTAAAATTTCCATATATCTGAGTGGCATACATGTACTGTACATGTACTCGTATGTTGACAAAAGGTCAGATGCTCTAACATCAGAGACTTCCAGTACATCATTATAAGTTCACCTTGTCCTTTGTGGAGAATTGAAATGCTCTCCAATATAAGAGAGTCAGACTGGAAAGTCAAGAGTGACAGTGAGATGTTAAGAGGAAAGGTTTTATGTCAGCATTGCATGATCTCCATAGACACTTCATCTGGGGATGTTAAAATGTTTTGATATATTTTAATATTATTGGTGATATATGTTGTATTAAAACACCAGCGTATTTAAATGCATACTTTGTAAGAAAATAAAAATGGCATATGTGCGACACCAAAATATGTTATGGTTGTAATTGGAAGTGAAGCCTGAAAAATGGAGGTGGACCATTGACAAGATTCTTATTGAAAATTGGAACATAACTGTACTCACACCTTCTATAAACTGAGAACAAAGTCAATATTAAACTAAAACCTAAAGTAGGAAATGAAGTGATAATTTTGCAAAATTTTGATGAGTTATTATGTTCGAACTGAGTGGACCATTTAGGCCAGATTTCCATGCAAAAAAATTCTTTTATATAATATAATTTAACATAATGTAGATTTAAAAGTAGATCACTAAATTGTCTAAATGTTCATATATTGCAGTAAATTATCACCCCTTAGCTCCGCCATTTTGGATATTTTATGCCTCGTCGCTTTTTTTCTTCCTGGCTACGTCACTGTTAAGTTATATAATTTGGGAATATTTCTGTACTCTTTAGCCTCTTTATGCAAATCTGAATGATGTAGACACGTATGGAATGAGTTGTTTTCCTCTGACAGCAATATCAAACACTAAGTACATATAGGCTAGGCCTATATGTATGAGACATCTATTCAAACATCAAAGTCAATTTACTAGGAAATAACCATTTTCCAATGAAGTTGTGAACCAGAGTTGACACATATACCTGCATTTATCCCATTTAAAAAAGTTAGGGGAATATAGAGTGCCATCCATCTGTATGTACATTCATACATCTGTCTGTCTGGGCCATAACTCAAATACCAATGGCCCAATATAATTTATAT